GAGCGGGCAGGAGACTCCGGGTGACTCGGGGCAGGAGGGGGCGCCCCGTGGGCTGAGCCGACAGGTCGGGGCCTCGGGGGGACCTGCCGTCCTCCCCACTGGCACTGGATCTTTCTGGGCCTGGCTCTGCTGCCTCCCACCCCCATTCAGCTGGTGGCTTCTAGAGGCTTCCAGAGCGTGCTTGGCCCCTTTGCCTCTATGCCGTTGGGCCCAGTGGGAGCAGTAGAGTGGCCGGGGCTGGGGGTGGGACTAACCCTTTCTGTGTCTCGCTTGCTCGGGTCTCCCAGCGAGTGGATGCCCTGAGCCTGGGGCCAGCAGCCCAGCCCCAGGTGGAAATCAGGGAGGGCTCCTTTGCCATTTTCCTGTCTTTTAGGCCATCAGAGTCAGGGGTGCGCCATCTTCACGAAGTCACAGGTTCTGCACCCCTGGTGTTCTCTTCTTGAAGGTGATGGTGGCGCAGCAGACACCCTTCCTACCTCCACCGCAGATGAGGGTCAAGGCAAGTGTCCTTGACCAGCCTTTGTGCTCTCACCTCTTTTGGACCTTTTGGGGCTGAGGTTGAGGGCCTTGCCAGGACCATGGGTTCTGGACCCTGGCCCTGCGGGGCCCTCTCCACAGTCACTTTCTCCATTGACCATGTCGACACCCCCTTAGCTGGTTCTTTCCTGGTCTGGCAGGGAAGGAAAAAAATCCAGTGTCTTCTTGTACAGTGCCCAGAGTGGCCTCCGTCTGGGACCTTGGGCAGCTGCCGCCCCCTGCTGTGTCTCTAAGCACTGCTGGAGCCCTGTGGGGGACCCCAGATTCCTTGGAAGCTTTTTAAAGTGGGGCCACAGTGGCCTCTCAGAGCTCTGGAGAACATTTTAGTTGGAGGCCTGGAGCCCCTTGAGGCCCATGGAACCTTCTTAATCCTTCTGGTTCTGGTTGGGGCACCCAGCGCACTTGGCTGCGTCCAGAGCAGTTGGGATCCCTCGTGGGGCTGGAAGCCCTGGGGATTGGACAGATCACCTGATTGGGTAGGCAGAGCCCTGAGGAGCACTGGAACAGGGAGTACTCCAAGGCCCACGGAGCCCTGGGGATTGGTGACCAAGCTGAAGTGGGAGGCCTCAGGAGTCCAGGGGGAGCTGAGGGAGGTGGTAGGAGCAGAGCCCTGGGGGAGTCTTGTAGTGCTTCCCTGGGGAACTGGGGTGGGGATTCTGGGAGCCCTCTTCCATCCAATCTTGGGAGCCCTTTTGGAATGAATGAAAAGGGGCAAGCTATGTGAGGGGTGGTGGCTGTTTCCTTCCTTTCCTCTCTTCCCTCATGCTACACACCACAGTGGTGCCAAGCACACCCAGCTTCCTCTTTTCTCCTCACCTGGAACAGATCCAGGACCTGACCTAAGGCCTAGAAAGCACTGTTTCGTCCTGATGCCCAGATCTCTTTTTCCTCCTTGGGATGCCCCAAGCCCAACTCCACATCCCCCGCCTCCCTGACACCGGCCATTACTCCAGAGCTTTGGGATGTCAACCTTGCCACCACCCCAGGTCCCACTTAGGTCCCTGCTAGGCCTCATCTGCCTCTGTCCAGTCCCCACTGGGCTGTAGTCCAGCCAGTCCCAGGTAGAGTGCTTCCTGGAGGAACTGGACTGAGGTGAGTTCGGTTCTTGCTGTCAATGTACTTGGTTTTTTTTTTTTTTTTTTTTTGAGACGGAGTTTCGCTCTTGTTACCCAGGCTGGAGTGCAATGGCGCGATCTCGGCTCACCGCAACCTCCGCCTCCTGGGTTCAGGCAATTCTCCTGCCTCAGCCTCCTGAGTAGCTGGGATTACAGGCATGCGCCACCATGCCCAGCTAATTTTTTGTATTTTTTTAGTAGAGACGGGGTTTCACTATGTTGACCAGGATGGTCTCGATCTCTTGACCTCGTGATCCACCCGCCTCAGCCTCCCAAAGTGCTGGGATTACAGGCTTGAGCCACCGCGCCCGGCTACTTGGTTTTTATCAGCTGCTGAAACATGAGGCTGTCATTGTGTCCTTCTAGGGTCCTGGCGGTAGCAAACTGACTGCTTGTTCTGCCCCCAGGTACAGGTTCATGAATGGGACCGTCGGGTCTGTAAGGTAGACCTGTGAGGAGGTGGCATCCCCTGCCCATGTCTACCACTCGCCATGGACCATCCAGGTCTCTCACCTGTTGCAGGGCCAGCCATGAGTCCCTTGCATTGGGCTTGGGATGGTGAGGGGCAGAGGGCAGGGGCTTGGAGAGTCCACACAGCAAGTGGCTGGGCACTGAGGGTGAGCCAGGTAGGAGGAGCTTATAGCAGTCAAACAAGAAAGGCTAAAACTGTGAGTGGTAAGAAAATTAGAAGTGATCCACTCTTTTCTGCATGTTTTCAATGCACAAGGACCATGCAATATTTTAGGACCAAAAATATACATGAGACTAGGATGTAGCCAAGATAAATGGTCAGGAGCAGCTCCCAGCCCCAGCCCTGGCTTGATGGGCACATGTACAGGCACTTGCTGGGAGCTGTGCCAAGTGAGAGGTGGGGCTGTCCCACTACCTGCAGCAAGGAGCCAACCAAAGGCAAGGGGGACTGATGCCAGCACCCTACCCCTTGCTGGGCCTCTGCTTCCCACCTCCCTGTATGCAGTGGATGACAGCCCCTCTGCTTTCCCGCCCTCTGCTGGCAGCGTAGAGTCAGGCATGCACAGCAACATGTGGCATTCCGTCTTGGTTTTCTTTAGTACCTGCTTTCCACTTTTAAAAATATATGTCAACTTTGGGTGGGCGTGGTGGCTCACACCTGTAATCTTAACACTTTGGGAGAGCAAGATGGATGGATCATCTGAAGATGGTCAGGAGTTTTGAGACCTACCTGACCAACATGGTGAAACCCTGTCTTTACTAAAAATACAAAAATTAGCCAGGCGTGGTGGCACACGACCATAGTCCCAGCTACTAGGGAGGCTGAGACAGGAGAATCACTTGAACCCGGGAGGCAGAGGTTGCAGTGAGCCAAGATCGCACCACTGCACTCCAGCCTGGGTGACAAGAGCATGACTCCATCTCAAATATATATATATAACTTTATATATATGTGTGTACATACGTATGTGTGTGTATGTATATAAAGTTATACATATATAAAAACTTTGAAGAAATACATACTCAGGGCAGAAAATCTGGGAGTTACATGAGAATATAGGCAGGTGAATTCCACCACCCAGGGATGATGGGGCCTTTGGAGCTTTTCTCCCATGTTAAACAAGCAGCAGTTCCAGGAGCCGAGAATGATCTGCCAGTGAGACGCCCTCATCTTCTTTCCGTCCACATGCCCTTGGACAATGGGGTGGACTTCAGCTTTTTCCAGTTAAAACACCCGCAGACTGCTGGTAGCGTGCATGCAGCTTTGCCTGAATTTCCAAGTGGGTTCTCGGTATATACCTTGTTGTACCACAATTATATGTATAAGCAGTTACACGTGCTTTGGGGAATGAGTTGGGGAATAAAACTCCCAAACAAAACACAAACATCTCTGGGTAGCAGTTGATTCCTATCCCCAGACCAAAGCAAAAATGCAGACCCAGCAAGGCCAGTTGGCAATCCTTGAGCCCCAAGACCCAGAGGCCCTTGCCATGGGAACCCAACCCTCTCCTCCAGGAAGAGCCAACACATTAAAAATAAATGGGGTTTTTATTGTGTGTCCACGAAAACAAAGTCATGGTGGCCTTCAGTTAATCCCCTCAACAAGATGACAACTAAAAGGAGGCATGCATGACAACAATAACCATGTTCTCCTCTGATGGAGCGAGGCCTTGCCCTCCTGGACCCTAAGGGTTACAGGCAAGCAGGGCCAGGAGGCTGGAGAGGAAAGCGCACCCAGGTCCCCCAGACCATGGAGGGCCTGAGTCTGCTGCCTCCCTGGTGGGACAAGGCAGGGGAGCAAGCACTACTCTGGGCTAGGCCAGCACCCCCAAAGCGAGAACACACACAAAAGCCCCCACCCCCACCCCCACTGCTAAGGCAGTCAGCCAGGACTTCCCCAGAAGAACTGGCTCTGAAGGCCAGACCCTCAGGGCTCCCTCCAGAAGGGGTTGCCTTCCTCGGCCTGCATGAAGTAGTAAACAAAGAAGAGGAAGATTGCAAACACCAGGAAAAGCAGCAGCTGGCCCCAGAGCGGGACCTGGCGATCGTGGCCCAGCCCAGCCCCAGGAGCATGCTTTTCTGGCCGGATGGCTCGGCGGGTAAGCCATGAAGGAGAAGATGAAGATGAGGACACAGAAGAGGTGGAGGAGGAGGTAGGATAATAGGACAGGCCCAGGGAGCTCCTGGAGGCTGAAACAGGGCGGTAGTGCGCGATGCTCTGGTAGGCACTGTCCCGGCCGTACATGGGGCGTTCCCTGAGGCAAAAGAGGGGAGCAGGTGGGCCAGGAGCCTGGGTGCAGAACCAGCCCCTGTTCCTGGGCCTGCCCTCTACGTACCTATCCTTGCACTCCTCTTCAGAAGACGACAAAAGATTGTCATCACGCACCTGCAGAAGAGAGTAAGGGTGAGTGGACTGACTGGCAGGGCCATCTTGGCCCTGTCATATCCGTCAGTCCAAACTTCCCCAGCTGGTGCCCTCTGACCTTTGGTTAGAGGCCAGGGACCCACACCCTCCCGAATGGCTCTTGGTGTTCAGCCTTTTATTTGTGGGGCCTTGCCACTTGTGCTCATGCCCCACTATTCCCTTTTGCCCCCAGGACTCTCAGGAAGAGCTTAAGCCTAGACTGCAGACCAGGGTGCTCTAGTCATAGTTCTGATGGCTCCCCAAAGTAGGGACCTGGCCAAACAGGCATCTGCTGAGCCAGAGTCTCCCCAGAGGCCCAGGAGCCACCATTTGTATCCAGTGGCCCCCTAGATTTATCCAAACACAGACACCATCCCCTAGATTGTACCCAAGTACAGGGCGCCTGCCAGCCAGCTCACCTGGTGGTGGAAAGTGTCAGCATCTGGGAGTGAAGTCGCAGACTGGCGGAAGCCCCTGGACTGGCCCGCAGAGTCGGGCTCCCCATAAGTCCTGGTAGTTAAGTAGCTCTCTTCATAGTAGTCGTCATTGTAGCCTTGGGAAGGGGGGCAGCGGTAGCAGAGGGGGCATCGGTGTGCCCCTCCTGGCCTGCTGGCCCTAATCTGAATCTCTTTCGGGACCTGTGACAGTTTCTCCCTCCTAAGGCTGCTGGAGTGGTTGGGGCTGAGGTCTCAGGTCCTCCCTGTGAGCTGGGTCCCTGACGCAGTCAGGTGAAGGTGCCAGCGTGCCCACCCCACCCCTGCCTTACCCTTGCTCTGGTAGAGTAAGGCGTCCTCTTTCTTGGGAAGATCATACATATCTGAATCCACTGACGCCGAATTCAAGTCTGGATTCAAAGGAGGTGACAGAACTGTTTGCCCCCCAGGCTTCCCTCCCCTCTCCCCGGTGCCGCTCTGGACCGGCGCCCCTGCCACACCCTCGAGACCCCGTCCTCCCCGCATCCCAGGCCCGGTCCCCATAGGCGAGGCTCTCACCAGAAAATCGATAGGAGAAGGAGGCGGCGGACGAGCTGGGGGGCGAGAGCCGCCGCCTCTGGGTCTCGTACTCGAAGATCTTCTTCTCGTAAAGCTTACGAGTAGACCCTGGCCGGACACGGGGCGGTCAGGGCGGCGAGCCTGGGAAGGCGCGCGGCTAGGGTGGCGGGGAGGGCGCGGGGCAGAGCGCGGGGAGGGGGCCTGGGGGCAGGTCCTTCCTCCCCGCCGCTTACCGACAACTGGCCCGTGAGGGATGTTGTACTGGCGCAGCACGGCGGCCAGCTCGGTATCCGAAAGACCCGCGTAGTCGTCCATGGCGGGTGCGGGCGCGGGCGGAAGCCGGGCCCCTGCCAAAATCGGCCGAGCAGCGGCTGCCGAGGATCACGGCGGGGGCGGCACGAGCGCCTCGGGAGCGGTCGCGCTCGCGTCACAGCCAAATCTCTGTCTCGTCACGGTCGCGGGCTCCGCAGGCTGCGCGCGCTGTGCGGGGCGGGGCCTAACGGCGGGAGAAGCAGGCTCAGACCGGCCGGGCCTTGAGAGCTGGGAGGCTGGGGCCGTGAGCCCAAACGTCATAAACGCACGGATTGGCTAGCGGAGGAGGGGGCGGGGCCCGCGCCGGGAGTCAGGGCGATGGGAATCGGTCTCGCGGTGGGAGTGGGCGGGGCCGCAAGCTTAACGTCACAAACACACGGATTGGCTAGCGATGGAGGGGGCGGGGCCCGCTCAGGCGGGGAGCAAAAGGTCTCGCGGTGGGAGTGAGCGGGACCGCGAGCCCGTACGTCACTAACGCCTGGAGCTCTGGGGGGTGGGGCCCGCGCGGGAGTCTGGGCGGTGCGGCTGGGAGCTTAGACGTCACCTTGAGGCGTTCGTGAGCCAGTCGGGAGAGAGGGGCGCGGCTTGCGCGCCTGAGATCGGGCATCTGCCGGCCGGGAAGTGAGAGCGGCCTAAGTGGGCGCTAGGGGTGGCTCTGGGCCCTAAATCACTTGGGCTCCCCACCGTCCGTGCATTCTCCCCGCCCTCGTCTCCCTTCCCGGGGCCCCAGGGCCTAGGATTCCCCGATCACATCCGGGTCGGCCGCCCCCGCAGCGGCGGGAAGGGTCTGAACCCTAAGGGAGCGCCGGCCCCGGGTCAGGCACTCCTGAGGGCGCTTTGTGTGCGCATCCCTCGGGAAGCGGCTGCGGGGCAAGGCCCGCGCCTACGCGGTCCCCGAAGACCCCCTGCCACGGGCCCGCCTTCCCAGTCTGCAGGGCTGTCGCCCGTGCACATGCCCGCTGCTTCCCACCGCCTCCGTCTCTGCTTCCCTTTCTCCTCCCTCGCTCCTCCCGGGAGGAAATGGGGCACTGGGCCAGTAGGCCGCCGGCACTCCAGGAGCAAGCAGCCTTCGAAGGGGCCCGGGCAAGCCAACGAGCACGCCAGTGGGCGCGGGCAGAGGGCGCCGTGCGATGTGTGCAGAGATGACGTGTGCCTAACGCTTCATGCCGTTCATTCACCCGGGGCACTGGCGGGAGCTGAAGTGGGGCTTCCTCTCCTGTCGGAATGGCCCCTGAGCCCAGCGTAGCCCGGCAGGGGGCAGACGTGGGTGTCGAGCTATGGAAGGGCTGCCAAGGCCTGCTCAGGAGCCTGGACTGTGGCTAGGATTCCCAGGGCCTTGATCAGATAAGGGCTGTCCTACGGAGAATGGAAAAGAGGTGATATTCTTTTTTTTTTTTTTTTTTTTTTTTGAGACAGAGTCTCGCTCTGTCACCCAAGCTGGAGTGCAGTGGTGCGATCTTGGCTCTCTGTAGCCTCCACCTACCAGGTTCAAGTGATTCTCCTGTGTCAGCCTCCCTAGTAGCTGGGAGTACAATCGCGTGCCACCACACCTGGCTACTTTTTGTACTTTTAGTAGAAATGGGGTTTCACCATGTTGGCCAGGCTGGTCTCAAACCCTGACCGCAACTGATCAGCCCGGCTTGGCCCCTCAAAGTGCTGGGATTACAGGCATGAGCCATCTCGTACAGCTGTGACATTCGTATTCTAAACAAAACCAGCTGAGGGTATATGGGACCAGCTAGTGTGCCCCTCACTGGGCAGGCCCCAAACTGGGAGCATGAAGAGGTGACATGCCATCCATGGTCTCACAGATGAGGGCTGGTGACAAGGTAAGAAGAGGGGAGGACTCTGGTCATGTCCAGAATGGCTGACCCAACTGGTGAGGATCACAGACCAGTCGTCCATGTAGGTTTGCCCATGGGGTTAGAAAAGGTCAACAGCTGGGGGAGTAATGAGATGGGGCCCTGTTTTGAATACACACAAAGACCCTAACAAAGAGGAACCGCTGTTGCTGTGGCCCCGCTCTGCCCCCAGAAATATGAGAAGAAGTGTGTGTCCATGAAGACGGTGCCTGGCAGTGTGCAGCAGGAGAGCCTTGGGTAGGGCCGGGGCTTGCACCTCATCTTTCAGAGCTCAGGGGACAGATGGCAGTTTGGACTCTGGGCTACTCAGAGGCTGCCTCATGGATTTTTTAGTTTTGACAAAATCAGATTCCCCAGCACCTCTGCAAGCCTTCTGCAATCCTGGCCCCTCTCCCAGAGGCCTCTGTGTACTAAGCGCTGCTCCATCCTCCCCCATGCCACCCCTCCCCATGCAGATCCAAGCTGTTTCCTTATGAGGTCAAGGAATTCTAGATTTGCCTTCTCCCTAAGGAGCACCCCCCCAACCGTTCTGCACCTGCCTTGGCATTCTGCTTTTTATGTCCCACCCTTTTGCCACACAATCAGGTCCCACCACAGATGGTACAAGGAAGCTGAACTGTGATGGTCCTCCTGCACACACCCTGTTTGTACCTGCAGCTTCAGTCTGGCCCCACTGCAGTGCAGCTCCACTCCAGACCACTTGTACAGGAAGAGTCAGGGCCCCACGATCAGGGGAGGCTTGTCCAAGAGCCCCAAGCACAGCAATTCATTCATGGAACATGATCACCTGGATGGCTGTGGCCCAGCCTCAGAGAGTTCCCTGCCAAGGGTAGGGTTGGATTTGCAGTCGTCAGAGGGTCTGGGAAGGGTGTGTACAGGAACATCTGAGGGTCTCCAGGGGGTTCCTCCTGGGAAGTGCAGGCAGAGGAAACATCGGGGTGCAACCAATTCTAAGTCAAGAATAAGAACACTGAGTCACTCCTTACAGATAGAATGGCTTGCAAGCAGTATGTGTTGTAGAACTTGCAATCCCAACATGATTGAGTTGCAAGGAAAAAATATCAACATGGAAACATTCCTCAGTATCTACAGACAAGTAGATGATCGTTCACTGAGCTGTTAAAATTATTTTTTTAATTTATTATTATTATTATTTGATACAGAGTATCACTCTTATCACCCAGGCTGGAGTTCAGTGGTACAATCTCGGCTCACTGCAACCTCTGCGGCCTGGATTCAAGCGATTATCCTGCCTCAGCCCCCAGAATAGCTGGGATTACAGGCACCTGCCACTGTGCCTGGCTAATTTTTGTATTTTTAGTATAGATGGGGTTTCACTATCTTGCCCAGGCTGGTCTTGAACTCCTGACCTTGTGATCCGCCCGCTTACAGGTGTGAGCCATCATGCCTGGCTTATTTCATTATTATTATTATTATTATTATTATTATTTTTTTTTTTTTTGAGACGGAGTTTCGCTCTTGTTACCCAGGCTGGAGTGCAATGGCGCGATCTCGGCTCACCGCAACCTCCGCCTCCCGGGTTCAGGCAATTCTCCTGCCTCAGCCTCCCTAGTAGCTGGGATTACAGGCACACGCCACCATGCCCAGCTAATGTTTTGTATTTTTAGTAGAGACGGGGTTTCACCATGTTGACCAGGATGGTCTCGATCTGTTGACCTCGTGATCCACCCGCCTCGGCCTCCCAAAGTGCTGGGATTACAGGCGTGAGCCACCGCGCCCGGCCTTATTTCATTATTTTTTAGTGACAGGGTTTCACTGTGTGGTCCAGGCTGGAGTGCAGTGGTGAAATTATAGCTTACTGCAGCCTCCAACTCCTGGGCTTAAGCAATCCTCCCACCTCAACCTCCTGAGCAGCTGAGACTACCAGTGTACGTCACCGTGCCCAGATAATTTTTACATTTTTGGTAGAGACAGTGTCTTGCTATGTTGCCTAGGTTAGTCTCAAACTCCTGGGCTCAGTTGATCCGCCTGCCTTGGCCTCCCACAGTGCTAGGATTATAGGTGTGAGCCACCATGCCCGGCCAATGTTTTCTTTAAGATCAGAATCTTCTTTTTTTTTTTTTCAATGTTTTTTTTTTTTTTTTTTGAGACGGAGTTTCGCTCTTGTTACCCAGGCTGGAGTGCAATGGCGCGATCTCGGCTCACCGCAACCTCCACCGCCTGGTTCAGGCAATTCTCCTGCCTCAGCCTCCTGAGTAGCTGGGATTACAGGCATGCGCCACCAGGCCCAGCTGATTTTTTGTAGTTTTTTAGTAGAGACGGGGTTTCACCATGTTGACCAGGATGGTCTCGATCTTTTGACCTCGTGATCCACCCGCCTCGGCCTCCCACAGTGCTGGGATTACAGGCTTGAGCCACCGCGCCCGGCCAGAATCTTCTTAATACTAAACAATACTTAACTTTTGCTTCAAGGATATTAAAGATCTTTTGGGTTTTGACTTGTACTCAAATGCTTTGAAACATCTGCTCAGATGGTCAAACACAAAAAGTCATGATTACTGTGAAAATTAATGTCTTGAAGATTGTCACAATCAATCTTCGATAGTGAATAGCTAGGTAACGAAAAGTCTACTCATACCCTAGAACACTGCTTCGTCTTGTTACTGTTGGTGTCGCTGATTGGAGATTCAGCCTACCTTGCAGCAGGAATGAAGCCAATTCCAGTTTTCCAACATCATCAATGTAAGGAGATGTCTTTAGTTTTTAATATCTTCACCAGGGAAAGGCTGTTGCTATAGAAACCCTTGTCCCTTAGGCCAGGCACAATGGCTCACACCCATAATCCCAGCACTTTGGGAGGTCAAGGCAGGTGGGTCACGAGGTCAAGAGATTGAGACCGTCCAGGCCAACATGGTGAAATCCTGTCTCTACTAAAAATACAAAAATTAGCTGGGCTTGGTGGCATGTGCCTGTAGTCCCAGCTACTCGGGAGGCTGAGGCAGGAGAATCTCTTAAACCCAGGAGGCGGAGGTTGCAGTGAGCCGAGATTGTACTCCAGCCTGGTGACAGTGAGACTCCATCTCAAAAAAAAAAAAAAAAAAAAAGAGAAGAAAAGAAAAGAAGAGAAACCGCTGTCTCCACTGCAACCTGGAGAAAGTAGACACAAAGAATGGCTTCTATTTAGAGTGTGGAGGGGCAGGAGTGCAAAGAAAGGGTTCAAACATAGTGGGGGTCTTGAGATGCAGCCAAGCAGCCACTTCCTGTTTCATGCTCCCTCCACCTGTTACGGTGCCTGTGGGTGGGCAGGCTTCTCTGCTTGAGGGATAGCCTTGCTGTGAACCCCAGTACAGCTACCTCTTGGGCCTGAGCTCATCTAGCAAGTGGCCTCCCTATCGGGGCACACACTGGATGGAGCGGCTAGAGACGAGACC